AATATAGTTTGAATTTATATAACAAAGTACAATGAATAGTTATCATTTAAATAAAATATTTATAAAAAACAATCCGGACACGGTATCGGCCAAAATTATCAATAGTTCTGTAACTATTAATTACATTAAAAATTAAACTATAATTTAGGATCTTATAAAATTCAAGAAATCTTCTAGATTCAAATTTTATCAAAATTTTACTTTTAAATTAGGAAACGTCCATTAATCAGGTGATCGCTTTTTAAGGATTTTTGGACTCCTCCCCACTAAATCTCCTCCACCGCTCAACATTACGTGTATTTTTAGTACTTAGAAAAAGTCGTATAATTTTTAGAAGCTTTTTGAAAAATATGGAATTTTTTAAAATATTTGGTGTAATAAACAATAAATACGCGTGATGATGGTATGAGATAAAATTCGAAATGCAATATTATGGTATGAAATAAAATTCATCTATACCCATACAACCACTTCTCCAGAATAAATATCTTTCCATTTTATTTTACAATAGCTCTATGTAATGCAGTATGTAATTTCCGACACAATTTTCAAGTGTCCTAATCAAAGATCCGATTCGTGTCTGCTATTCATTAATTGGAATCAGAGATATGGTACAAGAGCGCGATTCCTAATAATGTCTGGCTGGACGGTTTGTAGTGATTTACGGCCCAAGGAAGCCCACGCGTTACTTCACCATGGACGCGGATGGTTCAAACGATTTCGCAACATCTTCTCGACTCTGATTGACAGACATGCGTTTGGCAATATTATATCGAGAACTTTAACCAAAGTAAATACTAGTAATGCAAAATCAGAGAAAATGCATTAATGGATAATAATAACATATTGCGGTATGGTAAATATTGGTAATGTGTTGCTATTTTTAAGGCGATAAGAGATTTGGTGAAAAGTTCTGGTAAATTTGAAGTGATCTGTAAGCCCTTCAAAATGCATTACAAATTGATTGTCAGACATAAGTTCAGAGATATATCGAGAATTTTAACCAAAGTGAATACTAGTAATGCAAAATGAATGGTAAATATTGGTAATGTGGTACTATTATTAATGCGCCAAAAGATTTGGAGAAGTTTTAGCAAATGTGAAGTGCACTTCATAAATTGCCACTGATTTTGATCAGCAATTTTTTAACTAGCTGGGTAAAAAAAATTTAATGGTAATTTGAACATTTGTCTACGTAGAAAAACTGAAATACTCTCCTTAAATACCAGAGATTCATAAAATCAAACCATATAAAAAAAGGAAGTAAGAAAACAATTTTAGAGTTCTACAGTTCCTAATTTACTGACGACTACTCTTGGTCACACTGTAATAATTATTTTCAAGGCAAAGATACAAATCGTCCTACATGTGGACATAATTTGTTTCTTAATTCCTTCACGTATGCTTAAGTTGCAAATATTCTTCTTTCTAACTGGAACTTTTATCATAAAATTCATAAAATTAATAAAATTAAATAAAACGATTTCTTCTTAAGTATAAGCTTTAAGAAGACCAACCAAAATAAAATTTAGTGTATTTCAATACAAAGTTTGTATTTATTTACTATTTACCATTTACCATTTAAACTCATATTTATTTTGGAGTAGGTAAGAGTAAAATTCCACGGCATTCTTTTACCTGTATTTTTTTTTATTCCTAAATAAGACAAAATTTTCCATTGTTAATTTTGGATAAGTGCAAGCAAAATCATTCTTTAGTAAATTTGAATGCAATGTTTATATTTATTAGTCTATTTATAAAGTTTTAGTGTACTTGTTTGAAAATAACATTTCTATACTAATTTTTATACTAATTTATAAATATGATGAAGGTTTGAGCTCTGAGTAGCAAAATCAATTTTCACAATTTAGTAAAAGTTTAACGAATCAAAATTATAATTTTCTAGCATATTTATTATTCCTGTTGTAGAGGTGCATTAAAATTTGTTAGGGTCTTGTATAATTCTATAGAATCATTTTAGTGACGCTAGTACCTGTTGAGGTAATAAAACATTTTTGCCATGTTGTAGTATTGGGAGATTAGTTTTTTAAATCGTGTTTTTTACTTTTGAGCATTTTGTAATAACATGTAGCGTAGCCTGAAACTATTTTTAAACTTCTATACATCATGTATTATTTTTTTAGTATATTTCAACATTTATCTGGTGGATTCGTGGAAGTTACCTATCTTTTGTTCCTCATGTTCTTGAATTTTTGTACAATTTTTATTTCACAGTAGTTCTTCCAGTTTTGATTAACCATATATAAATTCACAGACAATTCCTCAGACAACAATCGTTTTCCGCCATATGAAATAGCGAATAATTAATCTGGAGCCGATGCATTTTGCATTTTTTGAATGCAATCGATTTTAATCGCTTTTATTATATTTATTGATATGGCGAAGCCAGTTTATGGCGCTATATTCCATACCATTTACAATGGATAGTCCATGAATAATATTCTATATTGATATTGATTAGTATTTAATATGGTTCATTGAGCTTTTATGCGACCTGAGGCTAAGAATAATGATACCACATTAATGACGTCCATTGAAAGTAATTGTCTGGGTTTATAACTAATTGACATGTGCGATTTTTATAACAGATTTATATATGTTTATATTATATATATATATATATATATATATATATTATATATTTATATATATATATATATATATATATATATATATATTGTAGAGTTTCGAACAATCTTTCAATAATCCAAGACTCTACCATTCAATATATATATATATATATATATATATATATATATATATATATATACATATAGAAACGTAAGTGAGCTTATTGTTAGAAATATTGGATGTGTGGATACTTAATGTTTTCTACTATGTACTTTTTATTTATTTTTAAACGAGTGCGTTTACGCAAATTCTCTCCATAATTTATTTAGTAATCAACACTAGACAATTTAAAAATTAACACGCATTGTACTTCTAAACATGTTTTACAAACCACCTAGGTTTCCCTCATTGTTAATGTTAAGAACGTATATAATGGACACTTGGCCTTATTTATAAATATCATTGTTCTTCGCACGAACATTCTCAGAAGAAATAGAAATATCTTGTTGCAATTCTTTCTGGAAACCATAATTCAGTAGAGATTGATAGAATTTTATGTATTATAGTTATTTATACAAATTTTGGTAAATTTATTTACACATTTCTTCCTTTAATCACATTTGATACCAATAATCCGACAATAATTTACTTTAGTTTTTTTTAATATCTGAATATGCTTGCTAAAAAAGACTTTAATAAACGCATACTTTTTAAACACTACAATTTTATTTGATATTGAAAACACAATTACACTTAATTGAATATATTATTCTTTGTTAATATATAAATAATTTGACTTCAATATGATCACAGAATCCTGCTCAAACGTTGTGTTTTGCAGATAAAAAAAAAATTAATAAATTCTAATAAAATTTTTACTCGTATTTACAAGTATTTTAGAGATGTACTTTACAAAATAAAATACCTATAAATTTACCAAATCTGGCATAAAAATTTGCATTTGTTATTTTGGTTTCTGATTAATTTTATTGTTTCAAAAGAACAAAGTCATCTACACAGGTCGTTTTTTTTTTTGCACATAACATATCTGGCTTAAAATTTATTTTAAGAGTGTATCTGAAACAATATTGATTGTTTGATGCTTCTGAAATAACATTTGCAGAAAAAACAAATATTGGATATATTATGTTCCATTAAGAACAGTTACTAGATTGGAACATCATTCCTGCACAAATTCTAATTCAATTTTTGATACAAATTATTTTTAACAACCAAAACTGATAGTCTTTGGAAAGCCAGGCCCAGCATAATTATAATAATTATAATAATTTAATTAGAACACAGCCTTGGTGATGACTCCAAATAAGTGCTCTAATTAATTTTGCAAAAAATGCTCTATTATTTAATATTACATATAACAATATTATCAATGACTAGTCTATCAAATTTAAACACTAGTTGGTGTCCTTTAAATAAATTTACTAGATTTTTTACTGGATTTTTTAGAAGTATTTTTTTTGTCTGCCTCTGCATACCATTATCTAGCGACATCATTCTTTTCCCGGTAATAAAGATTTGTTAAAATTACGAAATAACTTGTTTCTTCTCTAACATTAATAGAATAGAACAAGCTTAGAAGTGTTAATTGTTAAAACAAAATCCGAGGGCATTGTAATCCCACCGCGAATTACAAAAGTGTTTACAGTTGGCTGTCACATGCGTTTTTGCTTGAATAGACATTGTTTTGACTTGGAAAACAAACAAATTTTGATACCCGAGAAGATATAAATTTAGAATTAAATTGCATATTTATGCAGATTAAAAGATTATAAATTTTATTCCATTGGTTTATTGTAAATGCAGGTTTTTGCTCTTGTTTCAGATTCACTTGATCACATCAAATCACAATTTTTAACGGTTTGGTTTGGTTTGGTTTGGCTTAACGATTTTCATAGCTCTGTTTACAAATACAAACATCTTTAAACTATAAACCCTATTACACACTAATTAAATCATTACATGCTTCTATTATATTTGATTTTTGGATTAACTTTACGTGAAACATATGTTACAAAATATTTGTCAGTCGTAAAATCGTTCTCGACATTTCTATCTCAGGTATGCAAAATATTTCGACCAGCAATAGAACGTTCTCAGAAAGTTCTGATTGTAAAAAATAACAAAAGGTAATGTTATATAAAAATAAAATGAGTTGTATACAAACTATTATAGTTCTCACATAATTATAATATAACGTTATATAAAATAAAATACATGACAGCTGTTTGCTGTTAAGGACCTGTTCGAAAATGAGAGTTGGAAAGTTTTGATAGTTAAATAATTTTTTGAAGAAATGGTAAAATTGATGTTTTCTATTTAAATTATACTTGTATTTAATATTTTATATAATTCAAATTTAGTAAACACAACTTCATATAACCATTACGACTATTACTGTTATGCTGAAGACGACTTTGGTATATTTTTCAATATAATAGTAATGATGTCATTAAATTCGTGATTCAATTCGGATATATTCTTATATGGTTTCTCTACATTTCCGACAATCGAATGAATAAGATTCAAATCAACTTTCACAGAATTTGAGCACGCCAATTCCTTATTAGTAAATTCTCTGGTATAACAATTTGTTTTGAATAAAGTTCTATATAAGTAGAATAAAATTGACTTTCATTAGTTAGTGTGTCAAATTTTAATTAATGATTGAAATTTAATAAACAATATGCGCATATCACTAATAATTTAATCGGTTCAAGATTCTTAGCGAAGACGTGGATGAAAAATTCGTATGCTTGTTCTAAAGAAGCGGCTAATTTTTTTAAATCAGTACAGCCGTTTTTAAATAAACATCGACATATTAAATTTTGTCTGAGATACATATACACATTCAAACACTTCTTCCAATTTTGGTGTCAATTGATTCAGAATGACTCGATACGTCGAGTAAACATGAAATTAGCAAATCTGGCAAAAAATTAGTCATTATTGCATCTAAATAACGATAATAGTAAGATTAATAGAATAACGATAAAATTTAAATGTCCCTTAGGTGCCCAAACTTTCTTGTGTCGTAGACTCTTGTACTTTGCCACGGATTCTCTATTTAGATGATATCGTGTAAATTACCACAAATCGGACATATGTCGATTTTATTAAAAAAAATTAACTGTACTTTAATTTTAAAATAAGTAAGTAGATCTGTGCGTGGTGTATTGTGCTCCATTATCGTGGACTTTCATTTTCATTTTGCAAGCCCTTAATTTTTTTTGGGAGCTTTGCCAACGAGAACTTAGATCCATTAATTTCTCATACCTGTTTTAACAATTCAATTATCATCTTATCCGGAACATAACATTCTCATCTTTGTCGCAGACAACAATAGTTAATAATTGATTAGCAAAATATTTAATGGTATTGTACTTATTTATGTAAAAGTGCAAAAAATGACCTTAGGGTAGGGCGGGGCTAGTTGAGCAACTTTTTACTTAAACCGATGTAGCTCCTCAATGAAAAGTCTCAATAAATCGCTATACGGCTTAATGGATTTGTTGTTTATCGAAGTGTTAATACTATTTTTTGGCAGTAAGTAAAATTTAAAAGCTACAGCTGTTTAAATGCAAAAGTAGTATGCTCAATGTACCCCATAGGTGGGGCAAGTTGAGCACTAAGAAATTATGATGAAATCATAGGTTCAATGTCGATTAGTGATGAAATAAAATTAGTTTTGAATAACCAGTTCTATATTTATAGTCTTTATTGACAGAGAAAACAAAACTAATAGTAATTTTCATTGAATAATTAACCAAAAGTAGAATCAACAAAACAATATCGTACCTTAGGAATTATTTTACCATCATATTCAGTATTTTTGTTTAAAATCATTATTTCTTTATATTATTACTCATAGAGTTAGCTTAAATCTTAAAAATAATAATTAATTTCTGGAAGTTAATGGTAATTGTCTTAGTGACAGAACAAGTTTAGCAACTATGCTCAACTAACCCCAACTCGGAATTTTAAAATACAAGTGAGTTTATAAAAAATCCGTGAGAATTATACCCAGAATCTCTGTGCATATTAAAAGTACTATAATTATATGGAAGAATAACATTTACCTGATTAAAAATAAATAACATTTAATTAAACCAGACAAAAACTCATGATGAATTACTTATTTACTTTTTGGTCTCAAAATAAACAAAACGCCCGTGGGGTTCACTCATTTGTCCAGCGGCCACTAGCGATCGCGGGATGTTTATTTCTTCCAAATTTCAATCTTTCCGCCATATAATGTCTAAACGGACGGTGAATAGTTTTCGAGATATTTCGATTGCCCAACTTGCCCCTATGCTCAACTAGCCCCGCCCTACCCTATCAAATATTATATTTTCTATCACACTACAAATTATAAGCAATGCCTTGATTTTTGTAAATAAACATGATTGACTATTGCATACGTCTAATGTGGCGGTTTGGGAGTTTTTTTTAATCATTACTCCTAAATATTTTTGCTTAAGTTGATATTACCCCCTAAGAGAAATTATCTCCATATAGACAACTAAGAAGCAAATACAGTTAATACCAATTAAAAACACACACTTTTCACCGTCAATAATTCAGTTTTTACTTCATTTGGGGTAATTTACTCCGGTTCTCGACCACTGCTCTAATGCAATAAAATTCATCAGTCATTTATATAGACCAATCAATCCTTCACAACCAGTTTTAACAACTCCAATCCTCTTCTCTTCCAGAACACAATCGTCTGCCATTGTCGCAGACGGCAGTCGCGGCCCAGGCCAACAACAATAACAACCTCAAGTCGAGCGTCCAGGCGGCCGCCACTGCGCCATGTACGCCACCTTCGGCGGCGCCGCAGCCGCCGGTGACGACGATACCGGAGATGTGCGGAACCGTCGCCACTTTTCCGGCGAAGTGCGAAAAAATGGTCGCCGTCGCCGAAAAAGCGACCGCGATCACGGCCAGGGAGATCGCGATATTGCACAAGTCGAATCGGGGATTGGAGGCTTTGGGAGTACTTGTGCAGTACTTGGTTTATGATGTGAGTAGAAAGGATTTATTTTATATTTGATAATGAGGAAGTGAAAAAAAATGTATCCGGACATACATCCATACACACACAAAATAATTGATTTTTTCTATGATGTTTCAAAGTGCTTAGAAGGTCTGGAAACGTAAGGGGATAAAAAATGTATTGCAATTTTTTTGCGATTATTATAACTTACCCTAAGGGAAGAAAAAAATGTGCGGGCAAGGGTTCATAAAAGATCTATACTTTTGATATACTAGTATTTGTTTTTATATACATTTTTTTATATACTCTTTTTACAATATGTGAAAGCTTAAGAATGAAAAATTTAAATGACTCAATATTACTTACTTACTAAGTACTTAATATATAGTCTTTGTTTTCTATTCATATTTTTCTTCTAATTTATTTTTAATTATTGATTTATATCATATTAATTGTAATCGTTAATAGAGCATTAATTTATCTTAAAAGCGTGGGGACTAAAATGTTGAAATAACTAAAGCGTACTTAATATTTTATTTATATAATATTTATATTTACCACAGCGGTGTAGTTTCCTATTGTAATTTTTATAGTTTTTATTATCAATCCTAAGCAATTATAGCGTTAATAGTATATAAATTTTCACATCTTAAGAGTATTTACGGATTAACTTGCTAAATAAATTCTCATAGTAAATTATATTAAATTAAACTACCAATAATTTTAAGAGGTTTTTTGAATAATCAACTTTGAAGAAATAGGACCGATTAGATAATTATAAATTTAAAAGAGTATTTCCGAATTCACTTACTAAATAACTAAAATAACTAAATAAAGAATCAATATATTGAAAGTTATAATTATTTTATAGAAAATCTTATACTAAATAATTTAATAGAAACGGGTGATATCTAAAGAATATTTACAAATTCGTTTACTAAATGAAGCAGAACATGTTATATTAAATTAGATTAAAATAAACTACTAAAATTTATTATCATTTTATAAAAAATGTGGCTCTAAATAATGAAATTTTGAGAAGGTTTTTACGAATTTCTTGCTAAATTAAAAAGTTTTAAATTATATTAAATTGTGCCTAATAAAACTATTAATAACTTTAAGCATATAAATTGATTTTGAAAATCTAGGGCTAATATAAATTAGTATATATTTGAAAATTTTATATTTAAATAGATTATTATTATTATATGCGGTAGTATATATGCACATAATTTTAGTTTATTCGATAATCTACAAGATTCTTAATATAGATATGAAAATTCTCTATAGAAATCAAGTATTTTTGTTAATGTGATTTTTATAGCACTAAAGAAAATTATTCTGGGGTTTTTTGGTATAAGATCCTTTATTTTGCTTCTGTTATTCGAAACTGGCATTGATAGAGTAATTATTCGATAATCCTCGTTATATGTAAAACCATTTTGTTTAAATTTATGCATGTTCAACTCTGATTGATACCTTATATGGGATAATGATGGATAGTTTGCTGGCGATTTTAGATTTGCTTCAAATTTCTACAGACTGAAGTTATCTCTGGCCAAAAGTTTTAAGCGTTCGCAGTCTTGAAGATGTTTCGTTTTCTGTACGTTTGATTTAAAATCTTTTTGCATTATTTATTATGTCTCGTAAAGTATGGTATTAGCTAATTTTTAACAGGGTTATATACTGGCGTCAGCCTACCTGTAGCGCCACTAATATTAGCAGTCAATAAATCATCTGAAATGACTTGTTGGCGCCATGCAGTTTCGTCGCCTTTAAAGATAACATTGTCTAGATTTAGTCTATTTTTATTTTGATATATGACACGGCAATAAACTGTGTTGCTTATTTTCTCTATCGGAAGATGCAATTGACTTTAAAATTATTGGATTGTGGTATAAGTTAATTTAATCCGTTCGGTACACACATCAGGAATCAAGATTTTTGTACCACATGGCAGATGGTAATAGATACACTTTCGATTCGGATTTCTAAGAAATTTTGACTACAAATCATTAAATAAGCTTTAAATAAGATATCGAACTATTACACCAATCATATTTTTGAATGTACCTTGGAATAATTCGCGTTTTTCTATCGAAAGCTTGAATAGACTTGACTTCTTATAACAATAGAGTACTGTGGCATAAATTCTTAAGAAATCAATTCCTCATCAATCAAGTTTTTGATACGAGGATTTGTGGTATTTTAAATCCGCTTAAGCCGGGAATTTTATAGGAAATTCTAAATTCTTTTATGTTCAATACCGACCGATTAAAAATTGGTAATTTTTACTAACAGGTATGATTGGGATTGCGGTTTCTAAAAACAAGTTTCAGGCCATTAAGTAATATAAATTTATCTAAGTAATTATACCAGTTTTAGTCAATTGATAAATTTAGATTACATATATAGAAACGTGTGCCAAAATTTTAGCAGAACTAACATCTAAAAATTCTTAATATAGACACTTCGACATTACAACCTTCAACACATATCATAAACATACAAAGATGTAAACGGTTTCTTTGATTTTATAATTTTATATTTATATGAACTGCCTAATTTATTTTGCTTCCAACATTTACTATTTTTCAGTTTATCTTACAAGTTTTTATAGATTTATAGAGATTTCAATTCAAAATTAGATTTTGTTTACAGCATCTAAATTTTAATTAGATGTTTACTATCTGTTTTAATTATGACTTAGAAAATATACTGATTTTGGCTTCAATAATTGATATTGATCCAAAACTTGAATGATTTATTTAATGTTAGCAACAGACCAAAATTTTAAGAATAATAATATTAACCATTTTTTAGTTCATTTTACACTTTATTTAAATTTATAGAGACTTTTATCAAAATTATAATTATATAAAATTATATAATTATAATATAATTTTTATCAAATTATTTAGAGCATCAATTAATTACTCGCTGATCGTTTTAATATTTATTTGAAAAAAATACTGATCTTGGCTTCAAAAGTTGAATTAATCATATGATTCAATATTTCAGTTTCTTACATTTTTTTTGTAGATTTTATATAAATATATAAAAATTTATTTATTTGAATTTTTGTAAAATAAATTTAAAATTTGTCATAGTGTCAATATCAAATAAAATTAAATCTCATCAAATTGCTGAAGCAAACATAAATTTAAATTTTTTTTCACATTTTGATTATAGATTTTTTTCCAAAATGCAGTATATTCTTTTTTAATATATACAAAATTAAATTTAAAAATTGTCAATGGGTCAATTGGACGAAAATGGATTACTTTGCATCAAATTGCTGAACCAAGCATTAATTGTCTTTATTTTTTAAAGAAAATAATAAAAATTAAAATTACAATTTATTTCTCAACATGCTATTTTTTTGTTTTTTACTATAGACACTTTTATAATTGTAAATTGAAATAAATTTAAAAGTTTTAATGGGTCAATTGCAAAAGACTACTTTTTTTTTAAACTGTTCAAACAGTCGTGTATTTGAAGGATTTGTTTATAATATTATAGATTTATTTTTAATATGCATCGTTTTCTTTCTCACTAGAATCACTTCCATAATTACAGCATATTTTGATATTTTGAATTTTTTATTAATTTGTGTCATTATTCAACCTTTTTAAAATAATTAAAACATATTTTCAATAAACAGGAACACAAATGTTAAAACTTTTTTTAATTTGTTCAAAAAGATCTTTTTTCTTTTTCTATTTTTTTTGTTGCCAATACTGCATCATCACATTAATAATAGGTAAACTAATCACATATATATTTAGCATTATTTTAATTATAATTTAAACCCTGATGCAGAAGTATACTAGAACTTTACTATTTATTTTAAATTAAATATTTTACAAATGAGATAGATTTTTGCATCCAGTTTTATACTGGTTCTATTATTCTAGTCCCCTCATACTCGGAAGGTTACGACCAAAATTCGCTCAAGGATTAATTATCCTCGGCCAGGATTTCCACTTGGAAATTTGGAACATCCATCAGGTTTTTACGTACTTATTAGCGAACACATTGACTTCACCTCAATCTGCGAAGTTTTCGCTGGTATATTGGTTCGAATGCAATTTCAATGCATTTTGCCTTCGAAAAGACGACTTAATCGCGATGAGTTTTTATGATCTCGAATTGTAGTCCTCATTGGGCCAAGTCTAGACCCGAGATCTTAGCGGCTTGATACCTGGATTAAACTATTCTGTTAGGATTTCAATACAAAAGAGACAAAATATAGCGTATGCTCGGGTTTTACTCATTTTTATTAGGTTTTACCACCTCAAAGCAAGTACGGGGTTGCGGGCTTAAAATCCATGGGCGTGCGGAAAAGTAATAATAAAAAAAAAAAATTAAATGCCAAATATATATATGATTGTGCACCTAGTTATAGGAAATTCAATATAAAACCTTCTTTTTTTTATTTTTTTGAATATATATTTTTTATATATATTCTGTATCCTAATTAGTTTTTACACGTTGAAACATAATTGATATAAAAAGCAGCAAGCAATTCCTCAAATTAAAAAAATATTTAATATTTACAATTTTTTTATTTATGTTTTGTATATTGATATGCGTCATTATTTAACCTTTCTAAAATAATTAAAAAACATTACACAACGAATTAGAAAAATATTAAAACTTTTCCTAATTTTCATAAGAATTTTTTTTTATTTCCATATTTTTCACAGAGACAAAGTCGTTCATATTTTAATCAACGACTATATGCTTTAATTATTATTTTACTGTAATTATTTTTTTCAATCTAAAATTTACATATTGCTATATCCTTTTCTAATTTATTGTTATTTATAGTCTCTTAATATTTAACAAAATTAATTTTATTTTTGCTAAATGTACTACTTTATTATTTTAATTTCATATATGTTTACTTTTAATCTTACTATATTTAAAGCAATAATAATTTTAATCAAATATTTTTTTGGTCTTAATTTTTTTTTATTTTATTTTAACGAGACATGCAAATATTATTCTGATATTCTTCAATAATAATTAAATTAATATAATAAAATTTAATAATTAAATTAATATAAATTAATTAATATATCGAACTATGAAATTATAATAAAGTGAAAACGCACAACTATAAATTTTTTAATGTTATTTTTCAATTATTATTTTTGAATTTTAATATATTGTTTTTAAACATAAATAATTAATATTAATAAAATTATTAATTAATAAAATTTATTAAAAAAAATAAGTTTGAAAATCTGCAATTGCTTAATATTCTTTGGGATTTAGCATAAAAAATCTAAGATTTAGTCCGACTTTTTTATCATTCATTTATTTATTCATAAGGAATACAAAATTAATAATTCTAAATATTATGTTAGATATTTTTAAACTTAGTCATAAAGTAAAATCAAAGTAAAATAATTTTATAATATATTTATTTGTTTAGTAGCTACACAACGTTCTGAAATAAAGAATTAAAAGCTAAATTAATAATTTTAAATATTATTTTAGGCGCTTTTCAAACTTAGTCATAAGGAATAACTATAGTAAAATTTATCGATTTAGTAGCTAAACGTTCTGAAACAAAAATAAAAGCTTACTTACATTTTTAAATATAATAATCTTCATAAAATTCTCTATTATGTACTAGTAATACTTTATATATTTTATAGAATATTTTGATGTTTTAGATTTATTCTAGTGAAGAGTATTTCTGCAAATATGAATTTTTTTATCTCGTTTCTGATTCAAAAACGGTAAAAAGAAGTTACCAAATTTTTTAAAAACAGTAAAAAATACACATTTTTGCAATCATAAATTAGTAAAACTCTGAGTTATACTAAACATAGTCAGATAGTCAGATATTATAAAGTCTAATAAATCTCGAGTCAAGTTTGAATTGGTAATTTTTTTATAATATAAATTTTTTATATTTAATATTTTTACCTATGAATATGGCAAAAGATAGTAATTCTTGTAAAATAATCTAAATCTTAATAGTTCAGGTATTCTGATGTATTCTGATCAGACAGAATAAATTTTACTTATATAATAATATTAATTAAAGCATATAGTCGTTGATTAAAATATAAACGACTTTATATCTCTGCAAAAAAATATATGATAGATAATTTATGAAAATTTTAAGAAAAGTTTTAATATTTTTCCTGTATATTTATTAAATTAGATAAAATAATCATTAATTCAAATTATCAACTAAATCAATTTTAATTATATACAGCCATGCATATCTTTGATTCTACTAGTTGAAACTGAAAAAATAAACATTTTTTTACTGTTTTAGAAAATGTGAGGTCCTGTATCCTTAAAATACAATATTTTGTGTGATCGGTACTAAAATTATTAAAACTTTGACTAATTTATAAAAATTACTATATTTTGCCATACATTTTATATGTATACATTACATCATTATTAGTCTAGATGTCATTATTTGGATCCAGTTATTATAAAATAACTTGGCATTTTATATGAATGATGAATTTAGCATTTTATAGATCCACAAATAATCTTGATGTATTCAATAGAGAAGCCATAAATTTTTTTCAATCGACCATTTGTCTCAAGTACCACATTAATTTCAGAACCAGCTCATATTATCTATGACTCATGTGCCCAATATACAAACATGATTCATTTAAAACTATACATTTGATTATTTACTCATATAGTTTGATAAAAACAAATAAAACTTATCAAAGTGACTAACAAAACTACCTGGACTTCTTATATTTTTCGGGGGTTGTCAAAACACTCTCCTACTCCTCTGGCAATTTAGGTACCTGTTTTGAGGTACATACACGTGGTCCGTCTTACTAAAATATACCTCTCGCAGGAAATTGGTTGTAGGTACCTAAAATTTTTGAATTTTGGCAAAATATTCCATTTGCGGCAGTCTTTCGAGAACTTTCAAACAGTGCGGATCGTTAAAGATAGTTATCATATATATACTTGTGCAGTTTCATATATTTTGTAGTATAATAAGTTATGCGAATTATATACCGTTTGTTTTGTTAACTGTACTGTGAACGCCTAGATTGTAATTTAGATTAATTATTTATGAGAAATGTGCGAGTGAACAAGTTTAAAATTACTACTGGCCGGTTGGAAGAGTTTTTGTTCTGAGTGGTAAAAAATCCTCAAGATGAATGATTTATTGGTAAATATTCTAATTACTCATTTGGTAATATACTAATTACTCATTTTAAACGTGTGATTAAATTAACTGTTTTACTTATGTAATTATTGTGAAATATGCAAGGACCTAATGTTCCTGACTTGGTGTAATAAACTATTATATTGGTTACCTTTTTGGCCTAGACAGTTTTTTAAATTTGTATTTTTTAAATTTGTATTATTTTATATGCTGAAGTATAAAGTAATCAGAAACTCAAATTTCATCCCTCTATGTCATAAAATTCTTCAAGAACCGCAAAATAAATACCGTAATAGTCTAATACCTGTCGCATCAATATTATTGTGTTTATTATAGGATTAGGACCGATTTCGGAGAAATGTCTTTGTGCCATAACCGAATTTGACAATAGTTTGCTAATATTAATTTTATAAATTGTTGTTACAGTTGGATGCATTTGCCTGTCCATCTCTAAAAAGAGCCCAAAGATCAACTGGCATTTCGCTGATGGAAGCCAGAACCAACTGCGCCAGATTGGAGCAACAATTGGCTGATCAGATTTTGAGACATGCTAGGGATGTTTCTGAAAAAGGTAAGAATTTATTGTATTTGATAAAAAAAAAACTAAGGAAAAGGTAGATTAGGATTCTGTTTGTTCTTGGCTAAATTAAAAAAAATCGAGAAAGGTAGATATCGCGTTTGGATTTACCAAGTCTAAAATTTCCAGAAATGGATAGAATATATTTGCTTTCATACTTCGTTAAATAATTGCAGAAAAAGGTAGAATGTTATTGCGTTTGTACTTAGGAGCTAGATTTAAAAATAATGCAGAAATAGATAAAATATGATAAAAGATAATTATTACTAGGACAAGGTAGAATAGTATTCGGTTTGTACTTAAATAAATTTAAAGAAATACGGGTAAGGTGCAAAATTTGCAAAAAAGGTAGAATATAATTACTTCTACACTTAGTTAAATAGTTGCAGAAAAGGTAGAGGATTATTGCATTTGTACTTTGCTAAATTTATTTAATTGCGGATAAAGGTAGAATATTATTGCGTTTGCATATGGGAGCTAAATTTAGACAAACACCATTACATTCTTGCTTAGGTCAATTTAAAAAATTCTAAAAAATGATGAAATAGAATAGAATAGTATTCCGTTTGTACTGACTAAAATTAAGAAAATTGATAAATGATAAATTTAATTTTTACCAAATGTACGTCTTTATTAATTTAATCTTAAAAGTATAACAAATATGGAATTTTTGTTTATCAAATCACTTTGTGACTCCGACCTTAGACGAATTTCATATAATATGTATTTTATTAAAATTAATATGAATTGATCCTTGATATTATTACATAGAGCTTTAAAATCATAGCAATGTAAAAACATATGAAAAATCTATAAAATCGTTTATTATTATAATTGAATCTTTTCAATCTCTACGTGCAATTTCTGAAATATATGTAATTTTGCTTAATTTTATTCACAAATGACTGCGTCTTGTTTTTCATTTAAAATTAATTCAATTTTGATAAGTTTTTATTTTTTTTATTTTTATCCTTATTATTTGGAATACTTGAATTCTGTATATATTTAATTTTGCTAAATTTTATTCACAAATGCAGGGTTTTTCTTTTAAAAATCATTCGATTTTGATGATAAGCTTTTATTTTTTTATCTTTATCATCATTATTTTGGATACTTAAATTCAGTATTTACAAAACTGTATGAAATTTTTGTTTGCGACTATAATATTCGATTTTTTATATAATGGATCGATTGTAGATCATTTCAAAATATATAAAATTAATATGAATGGATCCTCAATATTATTATTATATAGGGCTTTAAAATTATAGCATTGAAAAAACGTATAAAAAATCTATAAAATAGTTTAATATTTGAGATTCTCGAATATTTGAGTCTATTCAATCTCTACGTACAATTTCTAAAAAAATATATGTAATTCTGCTTAATTTTATTCACAAATGACAGGGTCCTATTTTTCATTTAAAAATAATTCAATATTGTTAAGTTTTCAATTTTTTTAATTTTTATCATCATTATTGTGAATACTTAAATTCAGTATTTACAAAATTGTATGGAATTTTTGTTTATTGAATCACTTTGTGACTATAATAATATGAATCAATTATAGATTATTTAAAAATATATAAAATTAATATGAATTTGGTCCTCAATATTATTATTATATAGAGCTAAAATCATAGCAATGAAAAAACGCATAAAAATCTATAAAATAGTTTAATATTTGAGATTCTCGTATCAATAATTGAATCTTTTCAATATCTACGTACAATTTCTAAAAAAATGTAATTTTGCTTATTTTTATTCGACAAATTTAATTTTAAATGATAGTGTCTTGTTTTTTCATTTAAAAATAATTCGATTTTGTTAATAAGATTTTTTTTTTTATTTTTATGATCATTATTTTGAATACTTGAATTTACAATTTCTTTTGGCAATTAATTAGATACATCATACCTTTCTTATTCGTGAAAGAAAAAAATTGAATTTGAGTTAATTAATTAAATTTAGTTAGTACTAGCCAATAGTACTGAAAGTATTTTCATATTTCCTAGCATAATTATATGAATTTGTAAAAAAAAATAAGAATTTCAATAAAATATGTTTTGTAGCATTTTGAAGCGTTTTTGAAGCGTTTTCTTCTATTTCAATTATCGACGTTTAAACTAAAATTTCAGTGTGTTTCACGTTAAAAATTGTATTTACCAATTATTAATTATTGCAAATTATTCATTCAAATTTTTTTAAAGTGATTAATTTTTCATCGATCCTATATTTCTAAGTCATTTATTCCGCATGTCTATTTCGGTATATTGGACGTCCATTTAATAGTTCTCTTTGTTTGCATGTTAAAATTAATATGGAAGTGTAAAGCTACCAAGAACGAGTTTAGAATATATTTCCAACTGATTGTAATAATTTTATGACCAGGTGCTTCCTGTTTATTTAACATTTTGCTATTGCACATTTGATACTGTCTTCAGAAACAATTATACAAAGACATTTTTACCTGTTGAAAAAAGTTTCCGGCATTGAAAGGAAATTTACCATAGCTTAATGTTAGTACTTAGAAATATGTAGCAATTAGGATAGGAAGTAAGGTATTATAATTTAATACAAAAGCGAATTGAATTTTATTTCAAAACTTGCTCAACTTTTTCTATGAATCTCATATCTAATTATTTTTCACATTTTATTATTGCAGCAAAATTTGCTCGAATGAAGCATGTGTTCGTACTGCATAATTTAATATATAAACTAATTACACCTTACGTGTGAAATGCTTATTATTACCTTTTTGCAATTCTAATTATGATGCTCTTAATTATAGGAAAGTTTCTGGATATGTTTTATTTGTGATAGAATAATTTATTTTTATAATGCCTTTCTATTTGCCATGGTAATATATACATAGATGATAAATGATAAATTGTACATTTTAAACATGTACTACTTAAAATGATAGGACAACTTTGGATTTGGATTCATAAATTTTCTGATGTAGTTTGTTTTTTCCAAATTTGCTAATTTTGTTTTCTCGACGTTTCAAGTCGTTTTGAATCGTTTGACACCAAACTTGAAAAAAGTACTTGCGAGCCATCACTTGGCCCACATTTTTTCGAAAACGTCTGCACCGATTTCAAAATTTAAAAAGCCATTTGATGAAATTCTATAAGGACGATCAGCCCAACAGTTTTTTTTACGATTAGCAAATCGAAGTTTCAATAATTAATTATCTAATATTAATTATCTAGAATTGATCTATGGTGAAACGACTAATCTTCACAAATGAATTGAACATCATTTCTCATTTGTTTGCATTTATTACTCAATTTATATAGTGCTCAAATTTAGTTTTTTATGAATTTACTTTTATATTTTACAAATAATTAATTTTTTTTTAGATCGTTTACTATTAGTGGCTGGTGAAAGGGCTGAAGAACGTTCCCGCACCCTGGAAGGAATTATAACTGAATTAACTAGAGAGCGCGACAACGCTTATGAACAAATTATGCAAATGAAAAAATCTCATGCTGAACAGTTTGAAAGTATTCAGGCTGAATTTAATTTAGAAAAATCTGAAACTGCTGGCGAAATTGCCTTTTTGCGCCAAACCATCGAAGAACGTTGCTCCGAAGTCAGAGAAAACCGTAAGAAATTGGATGAGCAGGTGGCATTATTGGAAGATGAACGAAATAGGTAAATATATTATAATAATTCATATGTTGGTTTTTCAGAAACCACATACTTTAATCAACATAATAAAAAAAATCATGTCCAGCAACAAATATATTACTACTAATGATTAGATTAGAATTACTATAAATTTTGATTCCTTCCAAAATTTACCATTTTTTTTTCTAGGTGTGAGGAAGACAGGTGTATGTATGAGAAAGAATTGATGAAACTCCAACAATCTTTGTCTGAATCTGAAAATGCAGCTAAATCCGCAGAGCGTGATGCTGAAAAATGGAGAATTGAATCCAAAACCATACGTGTAGAACTAGAAAACAAACTGGAATTATTGCAACATGAATTAATAGCACTCAGAAATAAGAACGCCGAAAATGAGTTCAATGTAAGTATACTAATATTATTTATATTTTTTACTCTGTTGCTTTCGTTTTCCAAATTCTAATTCTTTATATATTTTTCCAGGGTCCACGAACAGAGACCAATATTCTGAAAGATGAAGTCGAATCATTGCGCAATGTATTGGAATTGAAACAAAGTGAATTAAGTGAACTGCGTAAACGTAATTTAGAATTAAATAGAGCTGCTGAACAATTGCCAGCTACACAAGCCAAAGTACAAATGCTTGAAGCCAGAGTCGAAGATTTGCAAGTGCAACTGCAACGCAAAATGGAAGATGAAAAGTAAGTATTTTGATCCATTACTACTCCATGGTAATAATGGACTATTTACCAGAAAATGTAGATATTAATCTGTCTATTTATTTTGCAGAGAATTGCATCAACGCAACAAATTGTTGGAAGAATCTTTCCACCAAGAAGCTAAGCAAAAGACTCGTCTATCGCAATATAATGAAGAACTTCAGTACAGATTGAAACAAAATCATGAAGTTGTTAATGTCCTCGCAGCAATGACTGGAACTACTCCTGAAGCTGCACTTAGCCCTAGAAAAGTCCTGGACTACAACGGTTTAAGTAATAATAATAGTTTCTACAATGATTCGGGTTCAACACCTAATTTTGTTAGATCACACTCTCGCAATGGATCGAATGGTGAGTAAAATTAATTTTTACACATTTGTTGGAATAGTGTTTTATTAATTTTTTTTATTAATCGATTTTTTTTCTCAGGTGGACGAATGAGTTTCAATGAGCGCTATGGTTCATCAGAACGATCATCTATAAAATTGGAACGTAAACACAGCTTCCGTGAAAAGCCAGACAAATACCGTACTTCTTCGATTACTGTCGATCGTCAACTCAGTAACGGCAGTAGTCCATCTCATACTAATCCTAGAGCTTACGACCGTCACAATTCATCTCCTGCTCACGATTCATCAGGCCAATCATCTGACACTAGCTTCGAAGGCAAACCACACAACAAATCTCAAGATTGTTGTTTCGAAATGGAAGACTTATCGCCTCCGGCTTCGCCTCAAATCAAGGCAGTCGTTGAAAAAAGTGATTCCGTCAGTTGGGTTTTAGAAATCGCAGAGCCACCAGAGATTGTTGCTTCTAGACTTGTTAGACGTGCCGGATCATTCAGGAATTCTACACCACCTCCTAAGAAAAACACGTCTTCGCCGAGTCATCAAAGTCAACAGCAATCACCGCCGCTTTTGAAGCGACCACGGTGTAATACAGGATTGACCCAAAGGGTTGTTTTAAACAATGAAATCGCACGCCAAAATTCAGATCCTACAAGTGCTAGATCGAGATCTAATAGTATAACAAAACTCACCAGATCAGCGTCAATGGGTTGCGCAGCATTAAATGATTCTATAGTAGCTGACTGGTCAAATTGTGGCGGTAGCAGTACTCCGTACAAATCGAAGCAAGATTCGCCGAGTTTCCGCCAAAATGGTGAGAAAGAATCTCAAATTTTAATAACTTGTGATACTACAGTTTTGACCTCAAGATGTGATGAACTGTGCCCAACTTTGCCAGCACATAGAAGCATTATTTCCAACCAACGTGCCGATAGTCCTGATAGCAGTGTTTCCGATGATTCTGAAAATTCTGTGGATGACTGCGACAAAAAATCAGATGAAAATCGAATGGATGGAAGCTGGTCAGAAGACGGGGATACGGACATATGACTGCTAGATTGCTTTTAAGTTTATTTATAAATATTTTTTTTATTTATTCACACAATATTTTCTATGTTCTCAAGTCTTAAACTTTGATGTTATTTTATCATTTGCGAGTATCATCATTTCCTCATGTTATTTTTTTAAATCTTTTACTAAGATATAGTTGGAACTATATTCTTGAGATTTTAAGATTGTGTCTTCTAGTCGAACTTTGTGTACGTCGAGAGAAAAATGATTATGTGCAACGTTTAAGTAAACTTATTTTTGCAAAGTGGTGAAAAATGTCTGACTAATAATTGAGTGATGAAAACAAATAATTTGTGGACCATTTTATATCTTATGGATTTTTAATATTAAGAGAGTATTTATCGCACTATATTTTGTGTATGAAGAAGCTACTAAGTTCGTTCGCAAGTAATAGTGTAAATGTACATAGTTAAAGTTTATATCAAAAATTTGTTTTAAAAGTTTTTTGGTATAGATATATATTATAAAATAATGCAAACAGTATTATATGAAATAATCTTGCATTAAAATAACTATAAATGTTTAATATATTATATAGATCTTAAATCCCAAGCCAAGTTGTGAATTGTTCAAATTGTTGAAGTTCATTTTTTGTTTTACTGAACATTATGTGGTGCTAAACTATCAGTTACTTGAATATTCATTAACTTGGTTGTAATTTATTATATAATTATTTATAATTGATCTGTGAATCATCATTCTTTAAGATTAGATTCAAAAAAATAGTTATTATAGTCTAGTTAAACTAGAACACCTTTATAGTGCTCGTGCAATACCAATGTTGCGGTTATTGAAAGTTTTCTATTAACAATTAAATTGCATGAAAACGAATAGTTTATTTATAAGTGTATTTTCTCATGTATAAAAATAATATACATGTTAGATACGACTTTATGTTGATCTGTATGATAGTTAAGTGTATTTATAATACTGTAAAATTCTATTAATATCATGTTGGTTCAAAAGACATACTGTTTCAAATTTACTTTCTCTTTTATTTACAAATTATTTCTATATATTTTCAGCTTTTTTCCAAACTATCTTCTATCTTATTAAAATTAACTTAAACTTATCAATAATCCTTATATCACTTAAAATTCTATATTCTCTTTAAATATTCTTGGGATTTTTATCACATTTTTTTTTACAATATAAACAAACAAATTTTTGTTATTGCGAGTACTTCTCGCCCTTTTATTTATATATTATCTTAAATTTTTAGACTATTATTTCATAGAGCTTATAAATTCGTACTTGTAAGTGGATATTTATTATATAATTGCTCAAAAGTATGATTTGGCGATTTTTCCGATATTTTTAAAAATAATAATATTTTTTTTTAATTTTTTAAAAAAATGTTTTTTTTTATTTTCATGTTGTTTTGACTTCATATTATGATTTCTACAATATTAATATGTCAATAAACAACAAAAAAACCTGCTTATTTTTTGACCTCGCTTCACAAAAAAAACCTTAGCATTAAGTGGTTAAACATTTAAAAACATTTCTTTTAACTTAAATTTCTGGATTTTTCCTGATACGGTTTTGGGAAAAGAGTCAACTTGTAAAATATACCTTGGAATTTTAAAATGTGATATTCTATCTTTACAAAATTCTTTTACAATATCTCTAGTAATTTTCTTTCCATTGTCGACTCGTACAAAAGCACAAATTTCTTCACCTAAACGTTCACTGGGAACTCCTATTACCTATAATTAAAAAAAAGTATAATTTTCAACTGTTCAATAATGTAATTTTCAATATACTTGTTTTGATTTTGGTTCACACAATTCAGAATGACTTCAAGCATCGATAAAACATATTAGCAAATTAAATTTTCAGACAAACATAAACTTTTCATTAAACTCAATACTTACATGTGATTCCAATATGTCAGGATGTGTGTTAAGAAAATCTTCGATTTCCTTTGGAAAGATATTTTCACCACCTCTTATAATCATTTCTTTAAATCTTCCTATAATGCTTCCATAGCCGTTTTTATGCAATATGAATTGATCCCTTGAGAATATTATAATAATCTTATGCATATATAAAATATTTATATATTATAAAATATATTTACCCAGTCTTCAACCATTTATCCCTGCCATATATTTCCTTAGTTTTTTCTTCATCTTCCCAATATCCTAACATGTTGACGTATCCTCGAATACATAATTCACCAGATTGTCCAAAAGGCACAACTTGTCCTTTATTGTCAATTATTTTTATTTCCAGGTGATCTTGCACATGACCTACTGTGTCAGTAATTTTATCAATGGTATCATTGGGAAAAGTTTGGAAAATAACTGCAGTACTTTCTGTTAACCCATATGCAGCCTAAGGAATAAAAATTAGGTAATTGAGTTTAGTTTTATGATGAATCAAAATATTATTAATGATATCGTACTCGAACTTCTTTGACTTTTAGTTCTTCAAGTATTTGTTTGACTAAGTTTGGAGAACAGGCAGCTCCGCCAGTGACGGCGTATTCCATACTGTCCAGGGAACAATTTAGTTCTTTTTGTTTAGAGATCATATCTACGTACATTGTAGGTGTCCCGTGCGAAATTGTGCACCTGAAAAGGTAATTTTATGTATCAGAAATTTGTCACTACTTCTAAATTATTCCTACAATATTTACTTTTCTTTAGCAATGGCTTTCAAACTGCTGGTTGCATTATAAGATGCACTTGGTGAAACCAAAGTTGCACCATGTTGTAGTGCAGGACAAATAGTTGCAGCCATACCAAATGCGTGAAAAAATGGAACCAAAACACATATTTTATGATGTTTTTCCGAAATCCTGTATCTTTTTCCCATAAAGTATCCGTTATTGACGAGTGGAAAATGGCTTAAACAAGCTGCTTTGGGTTGACCAGTTGTTCCAGACGTGAATTGGATGTTGAAAGGTGAGTCTGGTTCTATAGTTGATTTAAGGGTTGATATTTCTTTTATTGAGCTGGTTGTGGCAAGCGAGGAGATGTCTTGGAACTTAAAAGTTCCTCTGAAATCGAATTAAAAATACTATACACAATAATAGAAGATTAGCATTGGGTACTTACTTATGATCATCTTTATCAGCTATTATAATTGATTTCAAATGTGGAAATTCAGCATTTTGCAAGTTTCCTGGTTCGCATTGTTGCAACTCAGGAGCCAGTTTAACAAGTATATCATAAAAATTCTGTTTACCATATTGACTTTGCGTTACAATGGCTTTAATATTCACTTTTTGTAAACAGTACTTCATCTCGAGAACTTGGTATGCAGGATTTAATCCTACCTTAAAAATAAGTTTTGGATAAAATACATTGAACTGGTTATTTAAATGTAATAGCAAATTTATATTTCAACCTACTAATATCAGTCCAGCTTTGGCAGCTGCCATCATGGTCAAATACCATTGCGAATAGTTAGGCATCCATATTCCAAGTCTATCACCAGGTTTTAATCCAATGGAATTAAATCCTGCAGCTATTTTGTCAGATTGGTCTCGAATATCTTTAAAACTATATCGCAATCCTTCATGTAGAGAAACAAGTGCTTCTCGGTCTCCAAATTTTTCAGCAGCTTCATCCACACATTGTCCCAAGGTTTTGTAGGATAAAGGCTCAGAGCCAATATTATGCCAATAACTTGCATTTTTAGGGGTTGTTTGTTGGATGCTATAACTGCATTGGATAAAAATAATTAATGGAAATTTTTAAAAAATGGTAAAGATTTTTCTGGCTTTGATATTACTTGTTGATATTTTTTATAACGAGTTAGATGAAACTTTGTATGATGATAGAGTTTATGGTCTAATTAAACAAAAATCCTAAAAAATCTGTGCTAATTATAAAAAATCATTAAACTTTGGTGTGATAGGTTATAATTTCAAAATTTTCTCGCCACAATCGTGAAATTTCATTTATAAAATAAAATGTATTTATTTGTATTGTTGGAAAAGCAGCATTAATGTATACAAGATAATTACTTGTTGAGAATGATAAGATAGTATATCACCATAACTTGTTGTTTTTACATAGGCAGTATTTAAATAATGTTATCTGTAATATTTTAAATGTGACACAAAAATAAACGAAATTTAAAAATATATAAATATAATCAAAATAATATTTCAAGGACTTTAAAAGCAGTGTTTAATGTTTCTACTTACATACATTAAGTACCCATATGACATTTGTTAATAAATCAACAAATTAAATTAAATGTTTAACTCTGATTCTTCTGCAGTATATCTAATTGTAAGTAATTTAATATAAAAATATTTATTTAAATAAGAAAGTAAAATCTTGTCCACTAAAAATGGTGCCTGATCAGAGGTCGGCAGAAAGCCTAATCCAGCACTGATTGAATCACAAAATTTAATATTTTTCAATAGTGTGGTTGAGCTAACATGTTTTATTATTTTTCTCGGTTTATTAAATTCTAATAAAAAATAATGCCTCTTCTTTTTTCACTTTTTTTTCATTGATAACGTTTATAATATAAATATATTTATTTATTACCATCTTAGAACACTGCTAAAACACTTATATCTTCTACAAACAACACTAGATTTATACAATAGACCTAAAGACATAGTTATTACTAAAATACTAGAATATTTATATTATTTCTTATTCATTTGGTATTGTCTGTTTTAAGAAAACAAAAACAACTCTTCGTAAATGATAATTTTAAAATGTACTGTGGACAATCAATGTTTGTCGTTTAGAATCCCATTAAATACTGCAAACAATACTGCGAAGACGAAGGATCAAAGGTGGTTTTTATTTTTTTACAATGATAATCTTTAGTGATTATTATAAAAAAAATATACAATAATAAAACATACATAATTATGCTTTTCTGTTTTCTATTTAGATACTTTTATAAATTTGAAATAGACTACTAAAAGATTATTAGATGAAGAAATGATAATATATGAATAGTATTTTTAGTAACTTTACATATTAAATTGTATTTTATAATATATAATATAACAAGTAATATATATTAAAAAAATATTATATTTTTTATTCATTAAAGTAATGACACAAAATATTTGCTTTTCCAGAAAACCATTGGAAATCGATGAGAAATTTTATTTTGAGAATGAGAAGTTTATTAATAAATTTTTTATTATTTTTGTTCTTCTTTATAAAATTTGGCAAACATTTCTTGTAGTTTAAATTTTTGAACCTTGCCCGAAGCAGTTTTGGGAAAAGCATCAATTTGTATAACATATTCTGGTATTTTAAAATATGCAATTTTATCTTTATAAAATTGTTTCACTTTTTCTTTATCCACTTTCTTCCCCTCTTCGACTCTTATGAAGGCACAAACTTCTTCACCTAAACGCTCGTTTGGTACACCGACCACCTAAAAATAATTAATAATTAATAATATTCGTTATTTATAGATTATAAAGAACCTACATTTGCTTCTATTATATCAGGATGTGTGTTGAGAAAATCTTCAATTTCTTTTGGAAATATATTTTCACCTCCACGAATAATCATTTCTTTGTATCTTCCAACTACGCAACCATAACCATCTCCTCGCAAAATGAACTGATCGCTAAAATCAACCAATACAAAATGTATTTTCATAACTTTTAATTATAAGAAGCATATAATGATTATCTGAATTGTTACCCAGTTTTTAACCATTTATCTTTCCCATATATTTCCAAAGTTTTGTCCTCATCTTTCCAGTACCCCAGCATGGTTGAGTATCCACGTACACATAATTCACCAGGTTGACCAAAAGGTACAACATACCCCTTTTCATTAACAATTTTAACTTCCAGGTGATCTTGCACATAGCCAACAGTGTCTGTTAATTTATCAACACCATCCCCAGGTAAAGTTTGGAGGATAACAGCAGTACCTTCTGTCAGACCATATGCGGCCTAAATAATATTTTATAAATTATCAACACATAAAATGTGAGTATGATTTTTTTTGGTTAAGTAGTTACCATGACTTCATTAATTTTAAGATCATTTATCATTTGTTTTACTAGACTTGGTGAACAAGGAGCACCTGCAGTGACAGCAACCTCCCAACTGTCCAAAGGATATTGCATTTTTTTCTGGGTAGCAATCATGTCCACGTACATTGTTGGAGTTCCGTGAGTTATTGTACATCTGTTTTAATAAATATGCATTTAATAGAATATATTTTGCACAAAACCATAAATTACTTGTAACACTTGTATACCTTTCCTTAACTATCGCTTCTAAACAATGCACGGCACTGTAAATAGGACCAGGTACAACCAAAATTGTACCATGCATTAAAGTGCATATAATGGATGCGATACCATAAGCATGAAAAAATGGTACTGCCACACATATTTTATTCAATTTGCCTCCAATTTTATAAATTTTACCAGTTTGGTAGCTATTATTAACAAAAGAGAAATGGCTTAGACAAGCAGCTTTTGGCTGACCAGTAGTACCAGATGTAAATTGTACATTTAACGGTAGATCAGGGTGGATTGTTTCTTTGAGTTTTGATATTTCTTGAACAGATTCTGGAGAAACTATAGAAAAAATATCTTGAAATTTGTAACAGCCCCTGAAACTCACCAACATTTTATAAAACCGAACAAATTACAATCTTTATATTATTACAAAGTTACTTTAGTTGGCCATCATCAACAACAACTACTGTTGTCAGATGTGAAAATTTAGCACTCTTCAATTTTCCGGGTTCGCAGTAATTTAATTCTGATATAAGTTTGATCAAAATATCATAAAAATGTTGGGTTTTAAATTCACGTTGAGTTATAATACATTTGATCTCCACTTTCTTGAGACAGTATTCCAGATCTAGAACTTGGTAAGCAGGGTTCAGTCCGACCTTAGGTAGATAGAAACAGTATAACTTAATTTGTTAATATTAGAAATTATTACAATATTAAAATTTATTCTTATACCAATATCAACCCGGCTTTAGCTGCTGCCATCATGGTCAAATACCACTGAGAGTAGTTGGGCATCCAGATGCCAAGTCTATCGCCAGGTCTTAATCCAATGGCGTAAAGTCCTGCAGCTAATTTATCGGATTGATCCCGAATATTTTTAAAACTGAACCTTACACCTTCGTGTATAGAAACGAAAGCTTCTCGGTCTCCAAATTTTTCAGCAGCTTCGTCTACACATTGTCCCAAGGTCTTGTAGAACAGGGGCTCTGTGCCAATACTGTGCCAATAACTCCATTTTTTCGAACTGATAATTGATAAATTTTTATTATGTGAAAAGATCAAACTATAACATCAACAAAAGTATTTTTTTTTAAGTCTTTTTATATAGTTGCATTTTTTATATATTTATATAGCAAATAGCCTTTTATTTCTCTCGTTTATATTAGATTACCTTCTTAAATTCTTGGTATGTTCAATCCACTCATTATTTACTTTGAAAATTAATCGATTCAAAATATCGACTTATTTGAAGTAATTTTTTTTCCTGTATGGGATATTTTTTTTACTGAACCGAACAATATACAACAAAACTATGAATGTGTTTCTTTATGCACTGCACAAAAATTCCTAATAATATATAATTACTATTTATTAACGTAATTTAGTATTTGCATAAATTTTAAAATAGGTACATCGTTTTATATTAGCATACTAGTTAATTACAGAACTAAGATAACAGAAAAGAAATAAAACTTTTATGCAAATCCTCTTCATTACGAGGAAGTTGTACAAATCAGATGATTAGTATATGATTTTGTTACAAATATTGCCAATATGAGGCGAATGTTTAATTAGATGTCAATATTTTATATTTTATATATTTCGAATAAACGACTATTGACAAATAGCATACAATACAATTTCCAGTTTGCTAAAAAGAGAGTTTCCTGGTTAGATTTGCGCCCATTGAAACTTAGTAATTCCTGTTCAATCTGGTTGTTCTAAAGCTAGGAGACAATATAAGATTTCCAAGGTAATTCCCACATGGTGAATACAAAATTTATTGAAAAAATTGGGCGAATGATATTCAAACATAGCAATCACCAAATGAATTCGTGTTTGTCAATTCTTTCTGACGTCTAACTCTACTTTAATTTGGACAAATAAATTCGCAAACCGGTTAATCGTGATTTTAGCCAGCTGATGGACCGGCACAGACGTCATCATAAAAATATATTTCGTAATGTTTTGGTTTGTTTAAATGGCCTCGGCGAAGCGATCTCGTTCGAGGTCAAAAATTCACAAACGACGCCGTGGATTTAAATTCATTATCATGCAATATAAATTGTTCGATTGACATATACATTGACCCGGATTTTATGGTGTTCTTCCAATCTGAAAAATTAACACATAAAATAAATAAACAAATGTGTAAAATATGCATTAAAAATGCGATTCTCTTAAAAAAATATGACTTTATTATTATTTGAAAATACCATTGTAATCTTTAGTTTTATCTAAGGGCTTTGCCAGGGTCTAGCAAGGGGTTTTATACTTGAACGATGATCCAAAAATGTTTTATGAATTTTATTCATATTTATTTTTATACATAATATTAT